GGGGGGGGGGGGGAGAAGGACACATGCTTTTTTCAGAGAAAGAACATGACCCAGCAGCCCAAGGCTTACGGAAGCTGCGCTTATGGGAGTTTGACAAAACTTTCTGCGTTTTTTGAGCTAATCAGAACTGCCTCAAAAAGGAAATCAGTTTGGTTCTAGGAAAGAAAGAAAAAAGGTCTCCTCTGATTTCCTAGAAACCTGCTTATCTGAGAACAAATAAGACAGATAAGAGATAACCACCTCGTAGCAAAGGGCTAAAAAAACAAAACAAAAACAAAAAAGCCCAGAGACTGGCTTGATAGCTGGTATTTCCAAGAAGGGACCTCTCATCGCTGTTTCTATCCCGCCCTGCCCGCAGATAGAGAGCCAGCCCTTCTAGGCAGGCCGAAAGGATACAGACCTGGTGATAAGGCTGAGTGAGGCCTCAGTACAATGAGTTCAAACCCAATGAAACAGTGGCCTTAAAACTTTTAAGGATGGTGATGGAGAGAACCATCGTTTTTTCTTTCTCAGCCAGCTGTAGAGGCTGGTTTCACATCAGGAGCAAGTGAGGAAGCGACGGGCATGTTTATCACCTAGGTCGCAGGAAGATTTCTGAGTCTGGGGGGGGGGTCTCTGGGTGAGAATAAAGTGCGCAACAATCTGAACATGGCTCTGCTCCCACTTGTCCGTTTGATCAACAGGACTTCTGCAGAGCACCTGCCCCTAGTGCGGATTTACCTCTCGGTCCCTCTGAGGGGGCTATCATTTCCAGCCAGGACTAGGGAGATCCAGGATCAAATCCCTGTTTGGCTCTGATGTCGCTGGAAGGGCAAACGACTTGGTGTTCAGATAAATGTGAAATCAAATCAAGGCTACCTACCCTCCGCGTTCTCTCCACATCGCCACAGGGAAGCCTCTTCACAAAATCAATCCCTGTGAGTGGGGTTCCTGTGGGAGGCAGGAGGATGGATGCGTCCATCATCAGGTACTCCACGTTCATGGGTTTCATCTGGGAAAGGAAAGGGGGGGGGAACACACTTAACACAACACGGAAGCTCATCTTTCGCCGACTCAAGCAACGCATCTCCTGGGCCCTGGACGTCGCAGCCTGGCTGTGTCCCAGATCGAGCCCCCCCAGAAGGGACCCAGACTTCACCTTCCAATTCCTTACCGTCATACTCCTATATTCATCTTCGAACATATCCAGAAAAATTTCTTCTCCCTTCAAAGAGAATCAGAACAGTCATTTTAACAGCAGGTCACGTCCGGTCCCCATGAGATCCAGGCTTCAGAGTCCTTGAGAGGAGGGGGCTGGACACCCTTCCCTGCCCGCCTGCTGCAGCTGAGGCTAAGCCCACAGAGACACAGGCATTTCCCAAGTGGGATGTCCGGTTTGGCAACGCCTGCTACCAACCTGCAGGCACCTGGGATTCAACGGAACCTGATTGGTTTAGGAGCCTGGCAAGCTGAACATGGATCATCTTTAACCAGGATGGGCAAAGTTCCCACTGGGTCCTGCTGCCCGTATAGAGCAGGAGCCGGGAAGAGTTTACAGCAAGAACTTACCTTATAGAAACGGCGCACCAAGTGAATGCTTTCTTCTCTTGCACCCTAGACAGACAAACAAGCAAAAAGATAACATCTCAGTTCTAGCTGATGGCCAAAAATAAAATAAAATAAAATACAGAGAAATGTGGTTGCTATGACTGAAAATGTTATTTGTCCTTTGTGACGACAGCAAGAAAGGTAAAAGCAAGCAAAACAAGACCAAAAAAAAAAACCACCTGAACACTCACTTCCAGACAGGCAAGGTGAACATCTTTTATAATACTGCGAAGTTTTGTCATCACCAGCTGCTTCAACAGCAGGCAGCCGAGCTCCACCGTGGCCAAACGGATTTTGCCATCTGGAAGGAGGAGGAGAGCAGAGTTAAGAATTAGGATAAAGGCACAGCTGCATTTTTTTATAATGACAACATTGCATTTATAGGGCTGCAGAATTGGAATCAGCTCCAGCAAAGTTTGAGGATATTGGTTTATCTTGGGTCCGTCCCTCCCTGCTGACGTTGCCCTGAACTATATTATTCTCATTATTTTGATTTATATACAGCCCAACTGGCAGCTGGGGCCACTCTGATACTGGCTTGGATTTTTAAACAACTACAGAAGTTTCTTATTTCTTTAATTGTACGCTCCTTTCAGAACCTTGGTGGGAAGGAAGGTGACTAATACAGCTTTTAGATGAATAAAAAAACAATTAAATAAGCAAAACCAGTAAAATGTTACTTGCCCTTAGACACAGGGCAGACTGGGCAGAAACTGGAAAGGTCCTTTTCAATTCTGGGTTGGTTTTTTTTTGGGAGGGGGTTGCACTGCCCAAAGGCCACCAAATCAAAACCAAAGCTGCACACCTTATGCGCAAACTAGGGAGCTCATTTACTGAAAGATTTTGTACCCCCTTCTTACTGTTCTTGACAACACTCAGTAGAAGCAATCTTAGCATTTGCCATCAAATGCCAGCCACCTTCTCCACTGGACAGGAAGACTTTTGTTGGTGGCCCTGCAAATGGGAAGAGCCCACTACCTGGCTGAGTGGCGTAATTCATGATTCGAATGAGCCGTTCGGCGAGCACGTGGTTGTACGTTGTCTTCTCTTCGTCACTCTGGGCCGAGAGCTGAATTCTCTCCAGGGTGAGCGGCTCAATTCCTTTGAAAAAAGGAGAGGTGTTTACTCAAGACTTCGTTCTGGCGCCCGCCGACAACAAAAAAGGGCAGCTCAACCGAGCAAAAGTGCTTGCTTTGTTCTATAGCTTGTATGAGATGGTGCAGCAAAGATGCCAAATCTAGGGATCTTTCTTGGCCTCCATCAGAGTTCTTGCTTATTTATTTAAAATATTTTTACCACTGTCTTTCTGCTTAAGAAGAACTCAAGGTAGCGTACACTATTAAAAGGCAACAATTAAAAGCTAAAAACAGTAGAGAAATGTTTAAAAAGAATCAAGCAAATATTGTATTTTAAAAAATAAATAAAGTCAACAAATAAAATCAATACTAAAAAGACATTTCAAAGGATCAAAGCACAGCAATCCATTTAAAACACCCGATTCAGGCAGCCAGTCACTCAGGGAAAGCTTTCCCGAAGACAGAGGTCTTTGCCTGCTTGACGAAGGACAGCCAAGAGGGGGCCAGCCTGGCCTCCGGTGGCAGGGAGTTCCAGAGTCTGGGAGCACCCACAGAGAAGGCCTGTGTCCCCACCAGGTGCACCTGTAAAGGGAGCAGAAAAACGTGCAAACGCCCCCCCCCCGGTCACTGCTCTGTCAAAACCAAAGAAATCTTACTATAATAGAAACAAGGCAGCTTGTTCTCCTCTGGCATCTATCAACTCTGAACTCTGGATGGCCAGGCATTTCCAGCAATAACATTTGTGCTTCAAGAATTAGAGCCGCTGCCCTGCAACCTTGAGAAGGCAGCTGAATATGGCTTTGAGCACCACTACTCAGAGCACGCACAAGGAACTATGCACCTCCGGGGTGCAACACTGATGCTTTTATCCATGGCATGGCAACTCAGAGGCTGGACAGGTGGACTCGGGTTCAAATCCCCACTGGCCCAGAGAACGTCCAGAATGATGCTGCACCAGCTGCATTGTCTCAATGTTGACCTACCTCGCAGCACTGTTGTGAGGATTTGGGATGGGGTGGGGATGAAGAGTCCACGGGCTGCCCCCCCCCGAGCTCTTACTAAAGGCAAAGCGGGATCGAAATGGAAGAGGGTGGCCTTCTTGAAACAACCAGAGGAGAAAAACAGCCTCTTTGGGAAGCAGAGGTGGTTACTTGGCCCATTCCCTCCCAGATCGGCAGCTGGAGCCTCTGAAGCAGGGTTAGGAGGACCTTTCTTCTGAAGATCGATGGGGAGAGGAGGATTCACAAACATAATGGGAAGGGCCCTGAAGCCCCTTTGCGCCCCCCCTCTCATTCTCTTTCTCTCGCTCTCTCTCTGTTTTAGGAGCACAACTCCACTTTTTCCTCCCCTCCTCCCACAAGGAGTACCCATCCGGAGCCAGGCGACAACAGCCGGCCCGTATAGGATGCCCCGGGAGGGCTGAGCCTTACCTTTGTTGTGCAACATGGCGTACAGGAGGCACAGCACAAACAGCGCGTAGTAGTCAGACTCCGCACACTCGAGGGCATTGTACACCATCTCAAGAAAAGGCCTGGGAGAGGAAAAAGGAGAAAGAACCGCCCAATGCTTCTGCCGGTCTCTTAGCATAAGGCTGACAACATCATTAGCCACAGACATAAATCTTTAATTAAAAGCTTCCTATTCCTCCTCCCTCCAACACACACACACATCTCAGGCTCCCGAGGGATCCCTTGGGTTCTAGGGAAGCGTCTGGGGGCTTCCGGATGGGGTTGGTAAGTTTTTAATGTCCGGCACTTGCTGTCATCCATCCTGAAGGGGAGGGTGGCTGTTCATGAGTAAGGACAGCGTATTCAAGCTCCTGTCTCTCTTCAAATCAACCTGAAGACATGGCTGCACAGGCAGGCCTTCCCTACGGCCATCACCTAGTCTATTTCTTTTCTTTTTTCCTTCTCTTTCCTTTCCCATCTTGGACTGTGATTAATTCGGATTTTACCTTTAGTTTATTTTTTATGCTTTATATAAACCACCCAGAGTAGACACCTTCTAGAAGGGCGGTATATAACAAACAAACAAACAAACAAACAAGCGTTAACTTCCAGACTAGGATGTAAGAATGTGTGTGGGTAGCAACCCATCTGAACCCTTAGTTTATTTTTTATGCTTTATATAAACCACCCAGAGTAGACACCTTCTAGAAGGGCGGTATATAAGTTCAATGAATAAATTAAATAAATAAATAAGCATTAACTTCCAGACTAGGGTGGAAGAATGTGCATGGGTAGCAACCCATCTGAACTTGGAAGTGTGGCTTGCTCCTTTCCTAACAAGCCAGAGTTCAGTAGTTCTTGGTCACGGTGCACACTGCCATACTCCCTAAGTCACAGTAAGCCAGGATCCAAAACCATCCTGGCCTAGCTGTGGCAGAGGAACATGAGCAACTATGCATTATTCAGGCAAAGGTAATTAACTCTTCAGCTGATTTATCATCCCCTCCTTCAGTCCAGTCACAGAGTATCTACTGTTGCTTGTGGCAACACATGCGAAGACAGAAAAACGACCAGGACAGCAGGGCAACCCGAAAGGACACCAGGATCCAGAAGATGTGAATCTAACCTGTAAGGCCGGGACAAATGTTAAACAAGAACAAAAGCACGGCCTTTGGGTTTCGGCTGGGACAGAACCGGGAAAGTGAGCAACCTGCTTTGCAGCAAGAGAGAAACATTCAACCTCACACTGCACTTTGGTACTCAAAGGAGACTCTCACAAACACGTTTCCATCGGCGCCAAGAATTTCAACTGCTCTCTCCGTACCTGTTCCAGTTCGACATCTCCGAAGCAGCCGCGCTCTTTTCTTCATCTGTTATATTTTGCTCCGTTACGGAGATCAACTTGAATCGCTCCATGATCACCATCTCAATTTCTAAAGAGAAACCACAGAGCAGAAATTGAAAGGGAGGCCCCTTTTTCTTTTTGCTTACAGAATGGACGTAGGAAGAAGACGGGTGCTGGGTTGCAAGCCGCCTGCTGGTGGCTACAATTCAGAAACAAGCAGATGGGACTAGGCAGACTTTGAACAGATCCTGCTACACTCAGGTAGGTGTATCCGCTTGGAATGCCTTCAAGGGGATTCAAGGGGTCATCCTTTAACAGTGAAGGGATCCTACTGGTATCACAAAACAGACTATAATGTACCGCTCGTTAAAATGGCCGCAGGGAAGAGGCTAGAGTCCTCTCAGCATGCGGGAGAACATCTGTCTTGACCACGTTGCTGCTAAACCACCTTCAGAGCCTTAGCTTTCAGTTACGTCAAAAGAGTGATCCAGCCCCAGGGCAAGGCAGCGAGAAGAAAACCAAGTTTCTTCCACCTCTGGAAAAGGAAACTTTCCCAGCCTACCCCCGGGGAATAAACCTTAGAGTGCCCAAGCCAGCCTTTCACACAAGTTTGTGAATAAGGCAAAGAGCGCCAGGCGCGAGCTCGTTTCCTGGAGAAGAACCCGGCACCCGAGTCAAGTCAGGGACAAAGCGTGAACGGGTGATGACAAAGGCAGGAAGAAGCCCCTGCGCCTGGGCCGGGCCGTCCTTTGCCGCCACTTGGGTTTGCTGGCCATGCTCACCTTCGCTCTCCCCACTAGGCTTGATGGTTTTCGAGGGACCTTCCATTCCGCCATCCGAAGCCTCCTCAGGCCGCCTCTCTTCCTCCTCATCCTCTCCCACGTTTTTATAGTTGGGCCTTTTCTGCTGCCTCTTCTTCCCCTTATGCTTATTAATCTCCAACGATCTCTCCAATGTCTCTGAAGGCTTAATGAAGCACCTGATGCCAGTCTTCACCTAAAACATCAAAGAGGCAGGTTGTGGCAGGAGGCAAGGCAAGCACATTTGGGGTGGGGGTGAATCATGTCTGTATGCCAACAGCCCAGCAGGACGCATGGGGCAAGGGCCCTGGCTTGGAGAGAGGGTACCCCTCCACAACCAGGCCCAATTCAAAGGACTGGCTTTGACCTCTGAATGCCTCCTGCACAGGCCAGCTGACGTCCTTTCTCTCCCTTCTGAGCCTCCCTGTTTTTTTAAGACCTTGGGATGGGCAAATTTCCCTAAGCACTGCTGCCTCCTTCCACGCCTTGAGTGGGTGAGGAAAGGCCTTTGTTTTTAAGCAAGAGGGGCGGTGGGGTGGGGTGGAATGTTGCATTTCCTTGCATGCTTAAACAGGCTTTTCAACTGACCACCTTCCATTGCAAAATATCTAATTATTTAATCCTTTAATTTATTGTATTCTGACATGTTTGAATACTTGTCTTCTAAATGCTTTGTGACACATACTGGAACTTTTCCTTGGAAGGAAAATATCTTGGTGTATCCTTCAAACCCACAAGGGACACATACAGAGAGAAAGAGCATGTTTCTTTAACCACACGTTGGCTCGGTGTCTGTATTTGAACCTAGGGTAAATAACACAAGTGGGTGTGATCACTGTCTGCTTTGTGATGACATTTCTTCACATGTCAGTTTTTAATACGGGGACTGGAACATCTGCTAGAATAGACCTGAGAGTGTCAGGCCCCATCGCTAGGTGACAGGAAGGAGAGAAAGTAGGTTACAGCAGACCAGCAAAATGGGACAGGAAGGAGTCACCTCTGGCTGGAGCCAGAGGCAAGCGGGAACCTTTCTTGCAGGAAGGAAGGTACGGGCCGAAGGAGACTCTTGGGGACGTCATGTGGCTGGGGCCGTGAAGGCACGTGACTTGCTGAGCCCAGGTAGCTGTGAGAAAGCAAGAACCCCCTCCTGATGGGGGCCCTCCGTTGCTGGGAGCACAGACGCCCTTCCTAGGGTTTCAGAAATGTCTCATCGCTAGACGAACACACTCCTGCCATCCGTCCATTGCAGCTACTCCCAAGAAGGGTGGCTGCAGCACTCAAGCCAGGGAACTCTCTCTCTGTGTGTGCATGTGTGTGTGTGACTTTGAGGGGAGGACTTTAAAAAGTGCCTTTTAAAAGGCAAATGTGGGGGGGGGGAATCCGCAGGTTTCGTGGTTCTTATGGAAAGGGGTTGGGACTCACAAAAAAAGGTGGGGAACATACCGCTTTAAACAAAGCAGGGCACATTTATCCCACTTTTCCTTTTATTGGGAAGAAGTAAGCTATTGAATGGGGGGAGGGAAGATATATTTTTATTTTAATCTCAATACTTCTCCGTGTTACTTAATTTGTCTCTGATGGATCACAGCCTCACCCGGACCAAGGATCCAGAAGGCAGGAAAGACAGACAGAGGAGGAGAAGGAACAAAGGCCACAAGCCTCATGCTGCACTTAATTGTCCTAAATTCACCCCTTTTTTTCTCCCAGACAACACCCACTCCTCCTCCTGCAGCCAAACGGTGTTTCTTGGTTCCTTAAGCTGTAAAAATCTGACCGCTGCCCTACTTTGTGAATACTACGCTTTGCCCCGTGTCATTCCAGGCAGTGATGTGGACAAAGCCACATTGTTTAATCTCTGGTCATAGGAAGCCGTGGTTGCCCCAACAAGCACCAGAACAGTTCTGCCTTTAAAGAGGTTGAAACTTACACTGAAACCATGAGGAAACAACAACTCTTATTCCCCAACACCCTCCTCCACCACCACCACCACCACCACACAGGCCCCAGAAATTTCTGCAAAATCGCTTCAGTGGAAGTAAAACTGCTGCAGCAGAACAAGGCCACAAGCTCCTGACCACAGATTTCCTAGTAACAGGACCCACTTAAAGAAAAACGGGCGAGATGCAGAATGAGTAAGTGTGCTATGAAGACAAGATCATTGTCGAGGCCTAACAGACCTTTCCATCTTTCAGTTCTCATGCAAGATCAGGTCACCATTCTGGTTTAAAGAAACAAAGAACGCTCAAGCGAGACAAAGTACATCAAAGACCCCAACAGCTCTTTTGACACCATGAGTGACAAGGACAGCAATTACACTGAACACCCCAATTCTTGCTAAACGCACGCACGCACGCACAGAGAGAGAGAGAGAGAGAGAGAGAGAGAGAGAGAGCACCTCAACAGGTGCTTTAATGTAGAGGGCGACCCTTGATGGACTGATGCCACATAGCAGATCCCCCTCACACTCACTGAGCTTTTCTGGACATCTTGTTCAATTTGGGAACAAAACACAGAGAGGTCTCCATTCAGAATGACTTCAGCCAGAGAATTCACTAGAGGCGTGTAGTGTATAATCAGGAACACCTGGCAGGAGGAGGCAAGGAGAAGAGTGAGGACGGAGCCAACAGAGCCAGACCCACTGAAGATGCCTTAGAAATTTTCATACAAATACCGTACTTGAGAATTATCTAATTACTTTGCAACAGTTACATTTTGGAAGGTGACAAGAATGTAACAACACTGCACCCCAAAAGCAATACAACCAGTGGTTATAACATTCCCTTTCTGTGTGGTGACTTTTTCTAGTTACTGTCAAAATTACTTTATAGGATATTCTGAATTCCCCCCCCCCCGAGGAAGTTTAACAAGACATTTTCAAGCTTTAGGCCCTTCATCAATCTCAACTGGTTCAGAAAATCTACATATATGTGGTTTATATCCTTGCACTATTGTATTTCCAAGGCGTAGTATCAGTACAGGCCACTAGAAAATTACATTTTCTTGTAATTTTCTAGTCCACTGGTTAGGCAACACTTAACAATATCACACAGCCCAAGAAACTGCATTATGAAGCAGGGGTCGGAATGACTCCCGGCTGGGCAACCAGTTCCTTCTCTGCACCTTTCTGCCCTCCTCTGCTTAATGGACAATTAAAACATGCAGAAGGGGCACAAGACTGAAGGCTGGGCGAGGGAAATGTCACATCATTGAATGGTCCCTCCACTGCTAACGTTCTGCACTGGAGAAGCTCCCACTGAGAAGTGCTCAAGGTCAGCTGTCCCTCTCGATACCATTCCATTACAGGAAACTTGGATTTCTGGCACCATATAATCCCTCACCTGCCATCTTTAAGTGGTATATCTGTGCCACGTGTTTCCATGGTATGTATCACAGACTCTTTAGCGAAGGCATTGCCAAATTATCATCACCTTTCCATATCTGCTGTTCCTTCCCTCTCCAGGCCACCCTGCCCGCTCACTGTAAACTTCCAACCTCTTTTCTTGGTCCATGAACTTAGAACACCCATAAGTCACATCACTGTTGCAGTATAAACACTAAGAATAGTAGCAACAACAATCAGCCTCCACCACTGATTCACAGGAAAGATTACTCTAATTCTCAGGAAGACACCAAATACTGAATATAGATATCTGACACGTACCTGTGAGAGTAGATATAGAGAAACCTGGAGGCTTATTTTTGGACGTTCCCCGCCCTAAGGAGCAAAGATTAAAAAGAAAGTTTAGTTCTGGAAGCAGCCGATACCTTTAATTGACTATTATTTGCCTACATTTCCAATGCATGCAGAATCTTGTTCTCCCAGTTTTGTATGGATACTTTCAAACACATTTTTTACAAGCAGGGATGAAAAGCAGAAAGCATGACCTGAAGTTCTGCTCTTATGCATAATTAGTTACACAAGAATGTATACGTACATATAAATAGAAATACAAAATTGCAGCATTATGACTAATGGAAACTTGCGAAAGAGTGCAGCTGGACAATGAAAGTCTTTTGAATTTACTCCACATCAGGGTTAGAAATTATGCAGAATACGATTTTTACTGGGCCTGAGGCAGCTTTCATAAGCCCAGCGTCTGACGCCCAGCTGAAACAAAAGCAGGGAGGATCTGGCTTTCTAAACTGTTTGGCACTGCACCCACTTTTTGATTTCTGAGAAGCACACCTCGCCTTTGGCCCCTCCATCCAATGCCCTTGTAATAAAAATCCTGACTTTTAACTTAAAAATAAACAAAACACATGGCAAATGGGTCTACATTTTTTTATGCCACAAAAATAGTAAAAATGGCATTGACCTTTTAAAAAAAGAGTGGAAAGAAAGGAAACAAAATGTGACAGATGATGCTCGCAAAAATAGTAAAAATGGCATTGACCTTTTTAAAAAAGAGTGGAAAGAAACAAAATGTGACAGATGATGCTCAATCTCACAGATTCCTGCCACTACCCGTGGAGTTTGGGAACCAAAACTCCGGAAAGTGTCATTCCCTCTTTAAAACTGGGTGCAGTGGCAGGCTGCGCCTTGTCTTCCGAAGCTTCCCCCCCCCTTTCTGCTACAGCCTTGATGGCTCTGGAGGAACCTCTGAAGCCGCCCACTGCACGCACAGTCCAGTATGGCGAGATGTCCCTTCCTTACCTTATCTTGGTTCACTAAGGAATAGACGTACAGAGGAAGGAAGAGACTGTTGAGTAAGTGGTCAGTGAGCACGTCATTTAAGAATTCACAGTTAATGGTGAGGATGTCATTCAGGTAGTGAAGATGGTCAAGGTGCTCAGCTACCAGGTCACTTAGCTTCCCCCGATTTCTATGCCTGTCAAAGAGAACAGAATTCAACACTTAACGTACCGACCCAAAGAAAAACTCCAGGGCTAAAATGATAAACAAGGTGGCCCCATAGGAGGCAACTACCGACCTCCAAAATATCCCTGTATCAAAATCATCATCATCTAGATTATTGGTGCCGTTTTAAAAGACACAAGTTCCCCCTATGCTCTCTTTCCCCAAAGGTGCTGGCTACTCTCTGTGTGTTCATCATCTGGAAACACAAAACTACATACAAAGGACAACCTCCCTCCCCCCTTTTGGGGGATTTTGTTTGATGCTTACTGCAATCTCCTATTTACTTAAAATATTTCAGAGCTGCCTTTTAAGCCAGCGCTCTTCCCAAGGTTTCCCGCAGGACCAACAAATGCCATTTTTGATATCCTAGTTGTTGGTCCTCAGAAGCCCATTCACTGAAAAGAACACGCCAACAGGCTGCATGGTGCTTTCCAGCTGCTGACAGGGTGAAACGACACAGCCCAACAACTCCCTACTGAAGGCGGAAAAAGAACGTACTCTTCGTCGGTTTGCACGCAGTTATCCAGCTGTATGACGTGGCTCCCAATGAACCAGACCAAATTGGAGAAGTAAGGGACGGCTGTTTTGTCCCGGATGTAGTGCAGCATCGGCTGGTTATCCACTGAAGGGGAAAAAGATATTTTCAGCATCCATTTCCACAAGACAGGAGCAAGCACATAATGAAAGCCATGATGACTCTTTGAAACCAACACACCACCCTGCCAAATTCTTTTCTGTAGCCTGGCTGGGGGCCCCCACGGCTGTTTTAATGTACGCTTAACTATCAACAGTAGTTTGTTAGGACAAATAACACCCTTCCGAGGGGTTAACCACGCCTGTGATTAAACGGCTATAAAAGCAGCCACCTATCGCAGCCGAGAAGATTGCTGTTTCCCTGAAGAGTGTGAGAATCATAAGCAATAATAAAAGGCTGAAGAGTCAAAGCGATTAGTGGACTTACATGACACTGCATTAAGGAACACAGGAATCATCAGTGAAGAAAGGGCAAGAGAAGACAAAAACAGACAATGGTTAACAGGGTTAGGAACTGGGATGGCAAGACATCCCTCCCCACCCCAAGGGTTTACCAGCTAAAGCAGGAGGCGTCTAGGCTAGAAGAGGCAGGCCAGCGGGGTGGTGGTGGTGGAGGAAAGCACACAGCCCCGGGGATGCTAGCCTCAGCCGCCCACCCCCTCTCCCACAACCGACACAAACACGACCCTTCCTCCCCACTTGGCACAGCATCACTGCCAACTCAACACTGAGGCCAGTGGTTTTCAAACTGAGGACTCTTTTCCTGGATGGCTTTGTCAGCTCCTGTTATAGCGCAGCCCCCCACCCCCGGCCTGCCTTCAAGGGTTCAGCCAGTTCACCAAGGTCCCGGCCAAGGTTACACGGGGGGGGGGAGAGACCCAGGGCTCCCTCCTACACTCAAACAGCCACAAGCAGGTGATATCCCTACAACGCCCCTCCTGGGTCTGCCCCTCCATCCTATCTGCTCTTCTGAACAGAGGGCAAAAATGGCTCCTGACGCTCTTTGCCAAGCTCCTCTAGTCATGCAACTCTCCAGGAAACATCGCCCGATGCTGTTTCTTCCTCCTCCCTTATATATCCTGTTGCTCTGCAGGCAGTGCAACTTGCTTTAGAAATGAATTTTATTTTTAAACAGGCACCCCAAGAGAGCAGGGAGGCAGAGAAATGGAGGTGGAACACTGGAAGAGCTGCAGCGTACCAAGCTCCACAGATGGGCAGGAGTTGCTTCAAATCCCTGGGGAGCCAGGGAGCATTTTACTGACCCTGGCGAGCCTCCTGCGAGGATGGGCAGCTTAACTGGAGATGGACCATAATTTACAGGCGTCTAGTCCGCTCACTCAAGGGCTTTAGAGCGCATGAGCCTCTCCTCAAAAACCTGCTTTTTCTTCTTTTGAAGTCCCCTGTTCTTCAAAAGTTACCTTTGACACAAGGGAGCGGGGAGCTGTTCAAGAAGGGAATGGGAAAAGCCGACCCGCCCTCCGTTCCTTGGGGCCACAGAGATTCAGTGGTGAGCTAAGGGCGAATTCCACCAAGAGTCCTTGCAAAGTTTAAAGAGTTGCACGTTACACTTGGGATTGGTGTCTATGGACTGCAACGGCACCCCCTCTTCCTCAGACCCATCAGAGGGCCACAGACCAAGGGAGAGGGCGCCAAATAACTTTTAAATCCATTCTTAAGGTGTCAGACTGCTCTTTTTTAGCTTTGCTGCAGCAGACAAGCCCATGTCTCCTCACTTCGTAAGAAAGCCCTAATCCTTGGTTCCCCCGGACAGTGGCTCCTCTACTAAAGAACAAGGATGAAGCAGGGACCATATTTCCTGCACCAGGAAATATTTCATTGCATCCTACTCTATGGCACACTGACATTTTCTTCACTGATGAATAAAGAGTAAAGAGGGCAGAGACAAAGAAGGACAAAGAGAGACAGGAACAGGATGTTAGGGAACAGCAAAGTTTTGTGGCGCCTTGAAGACCTGATGCGTTTGGTTTGGGCCTGTGCTTTCCCGGACATCTGCGGATACGGGCAGCTGAGCGTGAAAGCCTACCCCAAATAAAATGCCCTTTTTTCCCCAAAGGTGCCTCAAGTGCCTTTGTCATTCTCCCTGAGATAGACTAATACAGCTAACGCCCTGGAAGTAATGCTTGAGACCACATTGTCTTCTTTGGCAAGCATGTAAGGATATAAGCAAGAACTAGCCAAGAATGACCTCTAGTGGCCATTCCCCTGTGTATTCTCCTTTCAGTTCCTGTATTTTTTTAAAAAAACTTTCAATTCCTTTTTCAGTATCAATTTTTCCATAATCAATGATTTGGAACTCTTTTACAGATGAAAGCTTTCAACCGTGCCAGTCCCAGCTGTACAACAAAGGTTTATTCTACCTAATAAGCCTGGGGAAGTGTCTGAGGTCCTGCCCCCCCCTTTTTTGAAACTACCCACACTCACGCTCCACTGCTTCGCCAGAGTAATCACTCTTCTAAGCTGGCAAGAAAAGCTTACCTTTGTAAACATTTAACGTTATCGTTCTAACTGCAATCCTGACCATGCTTTCCGGGTGATTGAAGAACTTGATTGCTTCTGTGTAAAGGGCAAAATCATTTGTGTGCTGAAAGAGAAGACAGGTAACCCTAGGAATGAGATCTGGTCCATGAATGCATGCCCCATCCTTCAACACGCAGTCTTCCTAGGGTGGCTTATACTGTACAAACAACGGAAGATCAGTCAGAGGAGAAAATGCACAAAACAGCAACGAGTCAAAAGCACAAAAGACCTGACATTTTCAGAAATCAAGCTATGAATTCCTTCTTCTGTTGCTAATATTTCCATCATATTTCAGCACCTATTGTTCATTCGTTTGGGTTTTTAATTGCCTGCAAACTACCCAGAATAGTGCTGGTATTTAAATTAATGGGCTGGTATATAAATTAAAGTAATACCTAAATAAATAATAAACAGGTCAAAAAGACCAGCTTTCCTCTTCCTCCTTTCAGAGAAAATGTTGGGTCACAGATTTGTCCTCACTTATCTGCCTCCCACCTTTGTCCACGAATATTCGGCCAGCGCTCTGACACCCACCCACTCTACCCCACTTCTCTCCATTCTAAGCATGTAGCACCCCCCCCTTCCCTTACACCCGGAGACAGCCTTCCTGTCCAGTCCTGCTCTGAAACTTTGGGAAGGACTCTGTGCTGCCACTAGCCCTCAGGTGACCAAGACAAAATGTGGGCCATGTTCTGCCTTAGGCGTCCTATGGCTACCTGCTTTGGTTTATTCTTACCCTTCTCCGTGTTTCCTGGATTATTACCCTATTTTGTATGCAGAGAAGATTGGCATTTTATTTCTTACTAAAGTTTCTTCTGTTTACATGTTCTTGTGTATATTATTGTGCTCCTGACATTATTTTTGTTCTCAACAGGTAGTGCTTTCCTTGTTACAAGCTGCTTTGTAGATGGAAAAATACCAGCTGGTGTTTTTAAAAACAAATAGCTGGGAATGTAATTCACTAACCTTTTAAAAGTGGTGACTACAAAAGGCTTAATATGTGGAACAGAGAAACACTATGGAGATGCTGAGTTATTGTGACAAAACTGTGAAAACAATATTTAAAAGAGAGAGGGTGACCCGAGAGAGTACAATATTGGGGACTTAAAAGGGATTTGCTTGGCATCACCTAGCGTTACCTCTCGTGAACATAGGCCTCACACTCAAGAGCTCTGGAATGCCTTTTGCCACTGCGTACCTCATTGTAAAAAAAATGAACCGTGTGATTATTCAGCTTCAAAGACAGCGTTTTCAGGAACGAAATATAGTATGCCATAATCTCTTCATCCGAGAAGTCAAATTTGTGCACAATGATGGAATTTACGTAGTTGTTCGAAAGCAGATAGTCTGAAAAGAAACACACATTTATAACCCATAGGTAAGCTCAAATCCATGACATGGATTGAGACAAGGAACTGCAGCATGCCAAGTTTCTGGAAACCCCTCCGGTATATTTTAAAAAATGTTTAACAATCCATGGTGAAATTGGAAAAATGATGAACAATGGAAAATCTTGTATAAACCACCCACAGCTCTGAACACAGCCTGCCAGCTTATTCATGTAGGCTTAATTCTCAAAACTGTGTATATTTTTAGATAAGGGAGATCTTAGGCTGGCAAGAGACCCCCCATTTAAGGCAAAAACAGATGCCTCAGCTATACAACAGCAAGCTTCTTCCACAGATAAGGGGCTGAATCTAGCTGCTGGTCTCATGCAGGGGCTGTCCCCACTGAACCAACTGCTGGAAGACAGGTTGGCCTACGTATCCCACAGATTCAGTGGGTCTACTCCAAGTAGGATGAGAAGCTGGTTCAGACCAAGGAGCTGCAGATCATCAGCGGCAAACAACAAAGAAGAACCCTAGGCATTTGCTCTTTCAAAGGCTATGTGCTTCTCCCCAAACAAGATCTTTCGACAGAATAACATACAAAACTCATGACCTATGTTTTACAAAATCTTCACCTATTCTGTAAATCACAGACCAAAATCTTAGATGGAACTTCAGTTCCAAATAAGGTAGACCCATTGAAATGAATGAGGCTTGTTTGTCAACATGAAAACAACTTCCAGTGATTTCACGGCTTTTTTCCTTCAACTGGTACTAACAAAATAGATTTAGCCCCTTCTCAAATTTGGACTGAGAGGAAGGAGGCTTGTGACATACTTCCTGGTATAGTAGTTTTATGAAACTACTTGGGAGAACGGTTTAATAAAATTAGGCAGTCCAAGACAGAAGTTTGCGCTGTAAATTCCAAATCTTCTTTTATTTATCAATACATTAATGTGTTTATTTAAAATATTTGTAAACTCCCTTTCACTCTGTTCATAATTCCCAGTCAGCGTCCCTGACACGACCTTCATTTGCAGCCAAGTTGACTGGAAAAGATTACTGTGTGCCTCATTTTAGGGTCACAGTCTTCAGGAAAAGAAGCCAGCACCTTAGACCCATCTTCCTCCCTTCCCCATCCCCGCCAAATGCTGGCTGTACAGGTTTAGGCACCTGAATTCAGCACCCTTGCAAATGAGGACCCGAGGTGTGTGGACTTACAGAGCGAAGTCTCGTGGCGAATGTTCTCAAAGAGGATATTCAGGGTCTGCAGCAGCTGCACACAGACGTAGCGGCCGGACTTCTGGCGCAGAATGTTCAGGAAGTACACAAACATGTTCTTCTCCAAGAAAAAGCTAGAATGTCATCAAACATGGTTACCGATTTAGTTTCTGCACCAGACTGACCCCACCATCCTTAAACACCAATTTGTGAAACCTCTGAGCTCCAGCATTCAACACTCTCACGAGGATGCAAACCCCACAGAAGGTAGCAAATTATTTCACGTAGGCACCATGCAGAGTGCACTGTGCAGTTGCCAGGTGAGGCTTCACCTCCCGGGCAAAGTGGGATTTTTAAGGTAACAACAGCACAGGGCTGGGGCTTATTGCTGGCTTAAATCAGTCCAGCATGTTGGCCATTCTACATACATGCGCTTGGGATTTAGCATCTCTGAAGCCAAAGGGGCTCGACTTCCCCCCCCTCACAGTTGATCAGCAGCTTGTCTTTTACAGTGTGACCACCCTCCGTCCCCCCCCGCCATCAACACATTTGCAGAAAACATTGAGAAAACTTACTCAAATACTGAACTGTCATTTTGGTCTCCCCATATAAGGATCTCCGTTATGGACCGAATGGTCTCCACCAACAGGTTCCGGTTGTGATCAGTCACAGTGGTATTTTTGGTCAAAACGTGGTACATATACCTAAAGAAAACATAAAGGAGCTATTCCATGAAGTGTTGAGACTCTCGGTCACTTTATTTTCTCAATAACAACAAAAGCAGCAAGCAAGGAAAGGTTCCTCAAATCCTTTTGTGAAAACAATGACCCGTCTTCCTTTGGGAATCCTGATTAGAAAGGTCTGGTTCAGGCTCCCAACAAGTTATTCATGTACAGTAATTGATTTTTCTGAAAACTAGGGCCCAGGGCAGCTCACAGCAAGATTTCAGAAAGACTCCAGCAAAAATGTAAGTTATAATGTTAAAATGCCATCAGACAAACGATTGTAGAAAAGCACAAGCCACTGAAAAGCAATTTTTAAAAGACTTTTATCAAAAGACCCCAGTAAGTTGCCAAAGCAACTCTGAACGGAAAGATTTTCCCTGCTGAGGGGAAGACAGCAGGGAAGGGTCCAGACTAGGCTCCCTCTGTCCGAGTTCTGCAGCTCGGGAGCAGCCCCGGAAAAGACACTCTCACATCCCTACCAAGCAGGCCTCCAAGAAGACTGATAGAAAGGCATCCCCTGAAGATTTCAAAGCCTGGAGGCCCTCTTGCTCTTAAACTCCAAGCCCTTTTCAATTCTACACATCAGCAGCAACATTTTACATGTGCCTGGAAAAGCAATGGCATGCCCTGGCCCCCTCCTGCCCCCCCCCCAAAAAAAGCAGGATGGATCTTGGACTATCAGTATCAAATACAGCCTCTAGACTTCTGGAAGTTGGCCACTAGAAATTTACACTGCAATGTCGTTCCATCTCGGTGCCATAAATTGCATGGAAGGTTTTAAAATTCCAGAAGGTTACAGTGACTGGGCTGAAAACATCCAACTCAAAAACTCAACCCAACCCCCCAAAAAAACTCCATCACAATAGATTAGTTAGGGCAGTTGGCTGAGATTAGTTGGTCAGGTAACCATTCACAGAATGTTCCTATCACAAGGCTCCTTCTGGGTAGATTCTGCAACACAATGTGACCAGGAAATGACTAAAACGTCACACATCCCAAATAGAGAGGACTAGGTGTTTACTTCGGAACTCCTGTGTTGAATCAGGTTCCAGGAAGTGGCCAGAGGGAGGTGCAGCACTTCCACTAGCATCATCCTGCTGCAACTTTGTACTGTAGATCCATTCTCTGAAACTTTTCAATGTGAGCTAAGCTATTGCTTTGAATCCTGAGTCAGTGGCGAGCTAGCAGGGAACCCACCAGTCAGCTTGGATGTGTCAACAAGCTGCAGTCCCTAAGAGCTCCTTAAATGGTTTGGAGTGTTCCCGAGAACTTCACTCACCTCAACCCCATCCTAGACAGGCCTGGGAGTAAAAATGATACTCAAGGAAAGGAGAGACCTAGGATTAGGTTACAAGCCCTCTTTCCTTACAGGAGCATGGTAAAAAGAGAGCCGGTTGTGTCTTTCTTTCACTGATATGGAAACTGAGGCTGTGGGGTCAACGCAACAGCCCAAATCTGACAGGTGTTGGTGTAAGGCTTGGGTAACTTGTTGCAGATACCGCAGGTATCTAAGGAGACACCAGGGCACTTTTCGGTTGTAGACTTGGCCGTGCACGTGACAACACAACTGACATGTGCTCTGGAATCGTTTAGATGCAAAGCAACTTAAACAAACGTACATAAACACCAATAGGATCTTGGCCAATCCTGTGTCAGCATCTGTCACCTATATTTTTCTAGGTTATCCCACACACTCATTATCCCACACATTCAAATTCCATAACCACCCCATCACGCTAGGCCCTACGACTAGTTCTACTCTAGAGGAATCTCAATGGTTGCACCCCTCACACCACATGCACAAACTCCAGCTGGAGTCTCACAAACCCAGATGATTAGACCACACAGTTCTACCATCAAGTCATAAATGAAGGCTTCAAGCAGAAAACTCCGCAATGCCAAAAACACACATACAGTGGTGCCTCGCACAACGATTGCTTCATACAACGATGAATTCACACAGCGATGGGTTTTTTTGAGGAATTTCCCCCATCGTTTAACGATGTTCTCTATGGGGGAATTTCACTTAACGATGTCCCTTTTTGCTCATTTAAAAGTGTCTTAAAATGTTTGAAACCTGTTTTAAATGGTTGGATTCCATAGTGCACCTTGTGAAACATACGCAAACTTAATTTGGTGTTGTTCTGAGTCGTCCTTAATTTTTGGTGATTTTTTGAATTTTCTCTCATTGGAATGCATTGGACGGAAAGTTCAATACATTCCAATGAGAGAAAATTCAAAAAATCACTAAAAATTAAGGACGACTCAGAACAACATCAAATTAAGTTTGCATAGGGTTCAGGAGGTGAGCTAATGATTGCAAGCATTTAAAACCTGTTCCAAACACTGTAAGGCACTTTTACAGGAGCGAAAAAGGACTTCGCAAAGCCATTGAAATGTATTGAGTCGGCTTCAATACATTCCAATGGAG